ATGCATAGTTTTATTATGTAGCATATATTAGATAGAAACAAAGCAATCTCAAGCTTTTAAAATATTCTCTCATTTTAAGAATTTATATGTTTTTTCTAAAATTTGGTATTAACATACCATCTATCTTTGAACAAACAACTTGAGTCCCTACTATGCTAGGAACTATGGGTATGGTGGTAAGATGTTATCTTAATGATGATAGTGTATTTAAAATATAAGAATAATGTTTTTATAGGATAACTTACATTTTTCAAAATTAATTTTGTGGGGTGTCAAAAATTTCAGACCCACAAAAAGAATGTGGAAAACTGCAAGAAACTACTCAAAAAACTTGGAAAGTTCAGCAATCAAAAAGATATAGCAAATTATACCCTAAGCTGCAATCTACGAGAAGAGTTGATAGCTGTCTCAGAGAGAAAAGACATCTGTAATGCAATGGGTAAGCATGTTTTTTTTGTTTTTGTTTGTTTGTTTGTTTCCTGACATCTATAATGCAATGGGTAAGCATGTTTTTTTTTGTTTTTTGTTTTTTGTTTCCTGACATCTATAATGCAATGGGTAAGCATGTTTTGTTTTTGTTTTTGTTGTTTTCCCTGACATCTGTAATGCAATGGGTAAGCATTTTTTTTTTTCTTTAACTATAGATTTCTTTAAAAGTAATCAGTGGCCAGGTGTGGTGGCTCATGCCTGTAATCCGAGCAATTTGGGAGGCCGAGGCTGGTGGATCATGAGGTCAGGAGATCAAGACCATCCTGGCTAACACAGTGAAACCCTGTCTCTACCAAAAATACAAAAAAATTAGCCGGGCATGGTGGCATGCTCCTGTAGTCCCAGCTACTTGGGATACAGGCAGGAGAATCACTTGAATCTGGGAGGTAGAGGTTACAATGAGCCGAGACGGTGCCACTGCAGTCCAGCCTGGGTGACAAAGTGAGACTCTTCTCAAAAAAAAAAAAAAAAAAAGTAATCAGTAATCCTAAAATCTATACAATAGTTAAAAAGCTACCACCATGTCTTTTCAAAAAATTGTTTAAAATAATGTCAACTTTTATTTTAGATTCAGAGAGTACATATACAAGTTTGTTACTTGGGTATATTGTGTGAGGCGAACGTGATAACTGCTGCCTACTTGGGTATATTGTGTGATGCTGAGGTTTAGGGTATGGAATGATCTTGTTACACAAGTACTGAGCATGGTACCCAGTAATTTTTCAGCCTTTCCTTCCTCCCTGCCTCCTCCTTCTAGTAGTCCCCAGTGTTTTGGGATTTTTTTTGTTCAGTTTTTTGAGACAGGGTCTCCCTGTGTTGCCCACGCTGGAGTACAGTGGCATGATCTCAGCTCAATGCAACCTCCACCTCCTGGACTCATGTGATCCTGCCACCTCAGCACCCCCAAGTACCTGGAACCACAGGCACCGCACCACCACACCTGGCTAATTTTTGTATTTTTTGTAGAGAGTGGGTTTTGCCACATTGGCCAGGCTGGTCTCGAACTCCTGAGGTCAAGTGATCCGTCCACCTCAGCTATCCAAAGTGCTGGGATTACAGGCATTAGCCACCACTCCTGGCCTCCAAGTGTTTCCTGTTGCCATCTTTATGTCCATAAGTAGCCACTCTTTATCTGCCATTTATAAGTGAGAATATGTGGTATTTGGTTTTCTGTTCTGTATTAATTTGCTTAGGATAATGGCCTCCAGCTGCATTCATGTTGCTGCAAAGGACATGATTTCATTCTTTTTTTAATGGCTGTGTCCCATGGTGTATATGTACCACATTTTCTTTATCTAGTCCACTGTTGATGGTGTACCTAGGGTGATTCTTTGTCTTTGCTATTGATAGTGCTGCTATGAACGTACAAGTGCATATGCCTTTTTGCTACCAGCATTTCTTCTACATGCTTAATTGATTCTGAATGCTGCTTCTGTATTTGAAAGTATTGATAAATAATCTAATTCCTTTCTTCATTTTTGGGATAGGGTCTAAACTGACTTGTGAAAAGATTGCCGAAGAACGGTATGAAAACATGATGCAACAGCAGAAGTTAACAAATATTTCAAAACAACAAGCTGAACAGATTTCAGTACTACAAGCTGAAGTTGAAAGATTAAGGATGAAAACATTTCCTGCTCTTGTTCAAATGTAAAAACTCTGGCAGGAAAACACAAGGCCAAATCAATCATTTAAAAAATCATTTCATTTGGGCAAAATGATTTCCTTTCCTTTTTTACTGGCAAATTGAAGTAGCATGTCCTCTTAGTTGCATGTTTTAGATTAAAAAAAAAAAAAAGTTTAGTTTTAGCCTTAATTGTATACAAATTTTTGTCCTGCATGAATAAATGTGTAAAATACCATGAATTGTTTTTATTCAAGAATAAACAAGACTTGAGATCAAAGTATTCAAGATCTATTTTACTCGTTTAATCTGAGTTGGATCAAAGATATTTTCATAGTTATAATATAGAAAGTCTTAAAAAGAAATTCTTTGCCACACTAGCATTTCTAATTTTATAAAACTATCAGAAAAGTTATGAGAATTATGGATAATTTTTATCTTTATGCTTTTCTGTTTCTCATTTTCTTCAGTAAGCATTTGTTTCATAATCAGAAAAAAATTATGAGAATAGATTATTCCCTGCTTCACCAATGAGAACAAGATAAATTGTTAGCTTTTTCCAAGCCTTCTATCCTTTGTACATTACAAAATATTTTAGAAACATAATCTACATTTATTTCATGTTGTAATAGAATTCAATTTCGTGCTCTACCCAATAGGGTTTAACAAACAGAAAAATACTTTCTTATTTCCATGAAATAGTTTATCACTTTACCCATGTAGATGCTGATAATTACATAATGAGATGACTAACTGGCCAGAAAACTCCTTTGCCCTTCCATAGCCTGGACTGCTATATCATTGGGATCATGGACAACAATCTCCAAATGATGTCAGTATCTCACTGTTCTGCAATTTATGAACTCAATGTTAAGTTTAATCCTCAGTACCATATCCAGTATATACTGATGTAGACAAAGTAAGGGAGCTATTATAAAATCTTCTATTTAGAAAAAAAAAAATCTTTAGATGTAATTGATCACCCACATAGTGATCTGTGCTGGATGGGGATAAGGGAAATGATATGACCAGCATTTTTTTTTATTTTTTTATTGCATTTTAGGTTTGGGGGTACATGTGAAGAACATGGAAGATTGTTGCATAGGTACACACATGGCAGTGTGATTTGCTGCCTTCCTCCTCATCACCTATATCTGACATTTCTCCCCATGCCATCCCCCCCAACTCCAGCCCCCCACTGTCCCTCCCCTATTCCCCCCCGCCACACACAGCCCAGTGTGTAGTGCTCCCCTCCCTGTGTCCATGTGTTCTCGTTGTTCAACACCCACCTATGAGTGAGAACATGCGGTGTTTGATTTTCTGCTCCTGTGTCAGTTTGCTGAGAATGATGGCTTCTAGGTTCATCCATGTCCCTACAAAGGACACGAACTCATCGTTTTTGATGGCTGCGTATTACTCTGTGGTGTATATGTGCCACATTTTCCCTGTCCAGTCTATCATTGATGGGCATTTGGGTTGGTTCCAGGTAGGACCAGCATTTTTATGACTCCCCTCCTTTGTACTAGACTTGACTCCTGAAGTAGTCAGTTTGACTTATTCAGTAGGGAAGTGCTCACAGGTAACATTTCCTACATCTGGGGCCGTTTAAAATTATCCCTGAGATGACAGTTGTGGGGACAGACCCCAGGATGGGGGTACAAATACTTTAAACTTAAGATGGGATTGCCATAAGTTCTCTGTCCTGTTGGCTTGTCAACCATAGATGTACTAGACTTGATTTTTTACAATCTTTCTGGCGACACAAACTTCATTTTCACCTAAGTGAGCTGTCTGGAGACTCCCTTTGCCAGTAGTCAGTGCCACAAATTTCACTAGATAATTCTCTGTGGATTCCCAGGTCTTAACATTTAACACTGGTTACATTATGGGGAGGGGATGGGCTGAAAGTCCGGTGTACTTGAGGGGGGTTCAGAGGAGTGCTTAACTAGTAGGGAAGTGCTTTTGAAAAAGCTAAGTAAAGCTGTTTTTAATACTTAAAAGGACCCAAAAGCAGAAATCCAGAAAGCCCCTAGGAATGACTAGCAACTAAAACCAGGAAGCCTCTGATCCACAAAGTTCTCTCCTATCACCTCTGCCTTTCTCCGTAAGCACAGCCACTGCCCTTAAGCATGCCAGCTCTGCTCCTTCCAGGTGTACATACAACAGCTCCAGTCACAAAAAGAGATGGAGCTTTCTTTTCCGGAGCTAAATTCCAAATTCTCAGGGACCAGACCAGCTTGGGTCCTATATCCATATATGGGCAAAATGATAGGTGCAATTGTATAACTTGGCAGCAGAAACCCAATTCTGTGGAGGTGGGTTTATAAATAAGAAGTCTATGTTTAATCTATTTCACAGATGAAGCTAGAAGGGCAAACAAATGTGAATCTTATATGCCATGAAAACTTGATGTGGGTGGGAGATAAGGAAATGTAGTTTTGTAAGAAATAGATGATTGTTTCACTAAATGATGAATATGAGAAACAAATTTGAAGAGACAGGGAAGAATACAGTTTGGGACATATGAGTTTAATTACCTGCTAGATTTTTAGATGAAAATATATGGTAAATGGATGGAAACAAGGTGCATAAACTTAGGAGGCAGAAATTTTTAAACTTTAGACATTCATCAGACTGGACAATATTTGACATTTAAAATAAAACTTTTTGCCACAACAAAACAAATGTATTAAAACTAGTTTCCAGAACTGCCCAAATAACTTTTTAAACATTATTTAAATGTCAGTTTTTCTTTGGCAAATCTATCCAAAATACTAATTTTCCTTTTAGAACTTAGTTTATAATTTATATATTAGAGTGCCCCTAACTGATGTGCATCGGAATACCCTTCCTCTGAGCCCTAATGGTTTCTATCTGCCTTTTAAAATGCGTAAGTATCTTTTAATTAAGTTGTCATTATCAAAGATATTCTAGAGCAAATATCAAGAATTAAACATCTATAAATTCTTCTTCACTTCTGTTATAGTGTAGCAATTTATCATCTAACCCATAGTGGTCTATCAATTGAGTAAGGCTTAGTTTCTTGTTCTCTTCAGACACAGCTGACTGCAACTCATAAAGCAACAGTTGGCTACAGCTTCTCCACTTCTTTATTAACAACTGTAACTGAGACAGATCATTCTGAAACAGAAAAAAAAACAAAACAAAACATGTATGTATGTCAATAACTAGTCATGCTAGTTCAACTTAAAGTTAATCAGTGGGAGGTGCAGGTTTAAAGGCTAACATACATGGAGATGAATGGGAATTCCATCTAGGAAAAAGGATGGTTACAATGCCACGCAAGTTCTAGGGCTATTTTGTTGGTTCAAGCTCTGAGCCATCCTTATGATAAGGGAAAAATCAAATCATTAAATAAGGCCAAAACTATGTCAAGAAGCAACAATACAGGGAAAAATCTACTCTATTACAACCATACTTTTTAAAAAATGATACTATACTGTACTTTCCACTCAATTTTGCTGTGGATCTAAAACTGCTCTTTAAAATTACAACATTCAAGTTCAAAGTATTTTTTTAGGCTGGGCGTGGGTGGCTCACATCTGTGATCCCAGCACTCTGGGAGGCCAAGGTGGGAGGACTGCTTGAGCCTAGGAGTTCAAGACTAGCTTGCGCAAAATAGCAAGACTCTTATCTCTACAGAAAAGTTTTTTTTTTTTTAGCCATGTGTCACAGCACATGCCTATAGTCCCAGCTACTAGGGAGGTTGAGGCGAGAGGATCACTTGAGCCCAGGAGTTCAAGGCTGCAATAAGCTATGACTGTACCACTGCACTCCAGCCTGGGCAACAGAGACCATGTCTCTAAAAAAAGTATAAATGAAGGAATGAATGAATAAATAAATATTTTTCAACATTCCAATAATTTTATTTTTTAAAAACTCTAAAAATTTAAGATAACAAATGAGATACTCTATCCTATCATTTATTAAACACATAGTTGGGGGAAAATGAGCTATTGCATATATATAAATTTTTCAGGTAATAAAGGTTATCTTCTTCCGAAGTTCTATTTAATTCAACCTATCTGAGTTGAAATCTAAAGCTTAATATACATTTGTTTTCTCAAATAAAATGGCTGAATCACATTAATTATTTGGGGGGGGGGACACAAGATGATTACTAAAAATACCTTTTATTGTACTCTACAGCTCATTTTTAGTTTTACTAATTCACTGTCAGCTTTCCCTTCTGTTCCCATCGTACTTTCATCTAACATTTAATACTTATAGTCCTGCAAGCTAGAAACTACAGAGAAAAGCTTAACTGCATATTAAATAAGAGCTGAGATTCTTTTAAGTTTTACCTGGTGTCTACGGGCCTTTTCTACTCTAAATCTGGAGTTGAATTAAAGCTGTTGGAAGCCAGGTTTTTGAATGTTTGGCTTATTGCTTGTTATGCTTTAAAAGAGAAAAAAAAGCTCTTACTTTCTATTTTTGGAATTACTTTCCTGCAATTTATGTAAAAATAAAAATTATGCAATGGTCCTCAAATTCTTCTCACCTTTGATCTATACATTTTGACTAGTTTTAGCCTCCGAAGAAGGTCTTCTTTTTCCTGAACCTGCTTCATCAATTTGGCTTTTTCATCGCTTAATCTTTGTTTAGGAAGATTCTCATTCACAAGCTCATTTTGGAGAGCACTGCATGACCCAGAATTAAGCGACTGAGATTCACAGACACTGAGATTCTTCAAACTATTTTCTTCAAATTCACTGTCTATGTATTTAAAACTTTCTTGAAATTCCAAACAGTTTTCCTCTTGTGGAAGATGCTGGTTTCCCTGAAAAGGTCTGATCATTTTCTTCATTCTCTACTTTAAGACGTTTCACCACATTGTAACAGGAATTAAATGAAGATCTTGATTTCCTTAATCTTTCTCTAAGTGTTGCACTCATAGGCTGTAAAGAGCATAAAACACTAAAAATGTTAATCAAGAAGAACATTCTTGGCCGGGCGCGGTGGCTCAAGCCTGTAATCCCAGCACTTTGGGAGGCCGAGGCGGGTGGATCACGAGGTCGAGAGTTCGAGACCATCCTGGTCGACATGGTGAAACCCTGTCTCTACTAAAAATACAAAAAATTAGCTGGGCATGGTGGCTCGTGCCTGTAATCCCAGCTACTCAGGAGGCTGAGGCAGGAGAATTGCCTGAACCCAGGAGGCGGAGGTTGTGGTGAGCCGAGATCGCACCATTGCACTCCAGCCTGGGTAACAAGAGCGAAATTCCATCTCAAAAAAAAAAAAAAAAAATCTACCAGAAATAAAGGCCTTACATTTCTATGCTAGACACCACTAGATGGCTTTATGTCTCCATATCTAAAGAAGGCATCGCAAAATGTCTTTAATTTCTGGAAACTCCATTTGTTTTATTCTTTTTTTACTTCAGCAAGATCAACACATTTCTAAAAGTGTTGAGAGGTTTGTCCCAGTCATCAAGCATTTGTTCAATAACAAGCACATGCCTGACAGTAATCCAGGTGCTTCAGAATTACAGAGTAAGGAAACGACCTAGACCCTGCCACTAAAGACCTTCATAATAATACTGCACAGATTCAAACTTTCTCAATTTGCAGTGTTGTAATAACCTAATCTGAAACTAACTGAAATGAATTAATTCAAGAGGAAAACACAGCGGGAGGCTAGTGGGTATCATATATGGGTTTTTGTTTGTTTGTTTTGTTTTGAGACGGAGTTTCACTCTTGTTACCCAGGCTGGAGTGCAATGGCGCGATCTCGGCTCACCACAACCTTAGCCTCCTGGGTTCAGGCAATTCTCCTGCCTCAGCCTCCTGAGTAGCTGGGACTACGGGCACGCGCCACCACGCCCAGCTAATTTTTTGTATTTTTAGTAGAGACGGGGTTTCACCATGTTGACCAGGATGGTCTCGATCTGTTGACCTCGTGATCCACCCGCCTCAGCCTCCCAAAGCGCTGGGATTACAGGCTTGAGCCACAGCACCCGGCCTCATATATGTTAACTTAGAAGAAAACCATAACATTATTTAATAAAACGTCTACTTATTTAGGCTACACATTATGTTAATTAACAATCTTTAGTAGAATTTAAATGACCACTGCCACAATACCTAGAAACACAGAACGGATCCACTGGAAGAACGAAAATTTTCATACTTGTTTTCGTGAACTACTTGTATAGGGAGATGATGGAATTGCAGAGACCTGAGGAGTGTGAGGTAAAACCGCAGCTGAGTCTGATGGACTTTCCATCTTGAAAATGAAATCTTGGTTTTTCTCTAAAAGAGAAAAATTATAAAATGAACATCAAAACCACACCTCTCTATATAGTCAATTTTTATCAGACTATTTTGTGTACAAAGCATCTGCAAGTAAGACAGATACTTGCTCAAATTTTACTTTATAATTCATTCTTGTTCTTTTTGCAGTTTTCCATTCACCTTCCCACATAGGGACTACTAGTTTTTTCATGACACATCAATCAGCTAGGATCTCATAGTCACGACGCTCCCTGTTTTCTTTTCATCTACCAAAAAACATTCAAATTCTGCCTTGGGAGGAGGAGAAAATAACAGCTTTAGAAAATCAGGAATTCGGCCGGGCGCAGTGGCTCATGCCTGTAATCCCAACACTTTGGGAGGCCGAAGTGGGTGGATCACGAGGTCGAGAGATCGAGACCATCCCGGTCAACATGGTGAAACCCCGTCTCTACTAAAAATACAAAAAATTAGCTGGGCATGGTGGCGCTGTGCCTGTAATCCCAGCTACTCAGGAGGCTGAGGCAGGAGAATTGCCTGAGCCCAGGAGGCGGAGGTTGCGGTGAGCCGAGATCACGCCATTGCACTCCAGCCTGGGTAACAAGAGCGAAACTCCGTCTCAAAAAAAAAAAAAAAAAGAAAAGAAAATCGGGAATTCTTTATTAAGACAGCTTCACAATTCAAGGAGATATAGCCAAAACCTTGACTCAAAAACAATAACAGGACCTGTGTTATCACCCATCCTGAATTCTAAAAGCTGTGACTAAAACCCGTACTCTACCTGCCCGAGGCATAAAAAAAACACAACGGAGATGCCGTTACGCCCATCCGCAGCCTTTGAGTTTAAGCAGGGAATAGGCACTGAAAAGGAGAGTGCACTGAAACGACTTCCTCCAACAGAGGCACAAACTCGTGCGGGGCAAACCAGAGGCGGGAAGCCCCTCCTTCCCCCGCCGCAGAAAGCCCACTAGATCCCCGGAGGCTCCAGGCATGAGGTTAGGTTCAGTTCCCCCGACCCGGAAAGGGAGTTCCACTCGACTCCACAGCAGCCTCCCAAGGAAGTCCAGGTCTCAGGTAACCCCATTCCCCTCAGAAGGGTACCTCCCTCCGCCATCCCCAGCGAGAGCAAAAAGCGCGCGCAGCAGCGGCGGTAAATCGATCCCGTAGCAGGGCGGAGCACTGCGAGAGGCGGAAAAGACGCGCAATTGGCCAGATTGACTGACGCGGGAGGCGCCGCGCTCACTCAGCGACTCAGAGCGGCGGGTCTGCGCGCGCGCCTCCGCCAGTGGGCGGGTGGGGCGGGGCTTGGCCACGCGATAGGCGGCCGACACACGTGATTGGCAGAATTAACCAGCGCGCGCGGCTGTCCCCGCCCAGCGCCCGAGAGCCGCGGGAGTGCGCGCGAGCGCGCGCGGCCGTGATCGGCATCAGGGCTTAACGGGCGGGCGAGGCTGAGCTTCGGAAGGACCAAGCGATCCTGAGGGGGGCGCGCTTCTGTTCCTGGCTTCCCTGGCCTTTTTATAACCGCCCTCCGTCCGGCTTCCTTGTTTTTGTGCGTCTGTGAAGTGCGCCTGGAAGCGCGCCCCCGCGCCGCCGCCCGCCGCCTCCATTCCCTGGCTCGGGCCGGTGTCCTCTCCCCGCTCACCGCATCCGACGTGGCGCGGCCGGAAGCTGCGCGGCTGCCCGTCCGTTAGATTACAGCTTGTGGACTCCCCCGAGGCAGAGACCACAGAAGAGCAGCGTTGGTTTCCAGCCTGTTCAGAGTAAGACATACTAGAAATCTGTCCGAGAGTCCCGGCCCTTCAGCGGAGCTCCTCGCTTTTCGGCTGCCGCAAACTCGGCGGTCGCGTTGCTAGGTTTTGGTTTTGTTTTGTTTTTGGTTTTTTTTTTTTGTAAACAAAAAAACTTGTTTCTGTACCCCAGTACTCAGGCTCCCTAGGGTGACCTCAAATCTTCTACTCAAATGTGAGGGAACATTTAGCCCAAGGAAATTTGTTGTGGCGCAAAGCAGGAGGCAGAACAATCCCTACGCGAGATGATGTCGGTCCAAAATTCAGGGGTTTGCGACCGACGGGGCCCTCGCCGACCGCCGGGCAGCGGCGTCCTCCCTCCGTCCAGAAAGTCCGCCCCCCGCCCCCGCGGCTTCCAGCGTGGCGAGTTTCTGTGGCTACGCGGCGGCAAAGTTGACCGCGTCGGGTGGAGCGCTGGGTTTAGGGAAAGCGTTGAGTCACTTCTGAGTCACGTGGACGTGGGGACTTTCCAGAGGCCAGCGTTTTCCGTCCTCTTCTTGAATGGCCATTTTAAACGTGTATATCGTCCCTTGGCTATTCGTACCGTGTGACAGTCATGGCTTAGAAGTGGCCAGAAGGGAGTTACCTGAGCCTTAAGCAGTCAGCTGCACTAAATACAGAGCCCGAGGACGGACTGAAGCCACGATGAGGGACGTAGGCGTTAGAGTCACATTGTCTGCGTTCAGATGCTGGCACTGTGCTCCTTAATGAGGTGATTCTGTGCCTCAGCTGCTTCGTCTGTTCATAGGGGATTGGTGGGTTAAATGAGAACTAGTAAGAGGCAACTACCACAGAGTTAGGTATCTAGGAAACACTCGGTAGTTACTTTATATATGCAAGTGTATTCACCGTTTCCTAATTGACGTAAAGGAATGTGTCTCCACTTAGCTTTCACGCCTTCATTTATCTCCCTCGCCAAAAAAAAGCACATATATTTTTAAAAGATGCTGTGATCTGTAAGATCCCACACAATTTAAACCATAAACAGCAGAGAATGTAGAGCCTCACATATAATTAATAATATACCACTGCTAAAATTTTTTTAAATTACATAAGTTAACCCCATGGAATTTACAAAATGGAAGACAGAACTCATGATTTTGTGATAAAGGTGTTACCTCACCAAGCTGAAGATCTTAGTCTGTACAATTTATTTCTCCCTTTACTCATCCATTGGCATCAGTTAATCTAAAAAAAAAAAAAAAAAAAAAAAAGAATGATTTGTCCTGCCACTAGAAGCACAATGCAGACTCCGCATATTCTTTATACCTCCGGGCATAAGGGCGAGTTGTTTTTATGAGTCGCTAAAATCAGCTGCTCCCAAATCCTTTTATCATTACAACCTAAGCTGAGAGCTGTGTTTTTTGCTGGCTGTATAAAGGAAAACAACATCTTGCCTTGCAAGTGTTCTGACTTGCTTATTATGTGAACTGGTATCTTAAAATGGGATTGTTTGGCCAAATTTTCAAAGAACTTCAGAACAAATACTCAGAAAAACCTGTGTTGCGGAAATGTGCATTTGTTGACCTACATCTCAGGCTTTCATGCATTGTTAGAACTGAATTACCTCCCTCTACGTAAGTTTTATTTCACTTAATCTTTTCACATAACAAATTTAAACGCAGTTTCCTCTCAGTTTCATGTTAGAGATCTGAGATATAGCCCCTGTACTTTTAACTGTACTTTTAGATAAAGCATAGCATACATTTCCATGTCTTAGACTTTGACATAAGACATTTCCAGACTTAGTTCCATGTAATAGAACTTGAAATCTATTAGCCTGTGGAGACTTCTGTGTTTCTGACACCGGACATTTTACGTTTCATATGAAAGTTTTCAGGCAGGAAAAAATACTGGCCCAGGGAGCCAGGAAGCAAAGACTCCTTACCCTACCGTAGAGAACAATTTAAGCAATAGAATCCGATAATAATAGTAATTAATATCAACTTAAGTCAGGCTTTCCATGTGTTTTAAAATTTCTTCAGTACCCAAGGCTACTGCTGGCTACTTTGTTACTCATCAGGGAGTGGTAAAATACTTCGTTCTTGTCTGTAATTATTGTTGGTGGGATGATGATATAGACCTAAAATCCTTATGAGGTTTTTTAAAAATTCTTTTCTAGTGGCAAGAATAGTGAATAGTTTCTCTTTCTCAGTCTCTTTCTGCCTACACACACATGCACACACACACACACACCTACCTTTTAGCCACAATTAAAATTTTCATTTTATTTTTAAAATTCTCAGCTTTAGTATTATTTTTAAAATCTTAACAATAATCTCAAGGTAACCTAAATTATATTCCCATACACTTTTCTTTATTGACAAAAATTTGTGTGTCATGTGGACATAACTAGTATCCACAGATTTTTTTAAAGAAACAAACAAATATACACTGCTGAAACTAGGATTAAAATCCACTTGGGTGAGGAATTGTGTAAAATTCACGATTCAGTTGATTTATAATGTTCATTAGGACAAATTAAGCAAACAATACAAATTTATAACAAATTAATGCAAATTTATAACACAAGAAAATCTGCCCAATTCTCTTAGCTGACTTTCAACGTTTCTTTTTTTTTTTTTTTTTTTTGAGACGGAGTTTCGCTCTTGTTACACAGGCTGGAGTGCAATGGCACGATCTCGACTCACCGCAACCTCTGCCTCCTGGGTTCAAGCAATTCTCCTGCCTCAGCCTCCTGAGTAGCTGGGATTACAGGCAGTCGCCACCACGCCCAGCTAATTTTTTTGGTATTTTTAGTAGAGACGGGGTTTCACCATGTTGACCAGGATGGTCTCGATCTCTTGACCTCATGATCCACCCGCCTCGGCCTCCCAAAGTGCTGGGATTACAGGCTTGAGCCACCCGCCCAGCTGACTTTCAACGTTTCTTACGACATTTGTACCTAAGTTGAAAATGCCCTTAAAAAACTTTTCTCTGGGTTTCTCTTACCATGAATTCAAGTTGCATGTTATAGACCGGTCCATGCTAAGGTGATGTTTTAGTGCCCTGCAATTTCATAAATTTCCCTTTGAGAATAATTGACAAATATTTCTATTTTTTTTTAATCTGTTACCTAAAAGATCTCATATGGAATTCCATAATGTGTAATGGCTGCACTTGCAGAGACTTTGTTACCAAACAATGACCTTTATGGGTTAACTATATAGTATTCTTTAGCCAAGATATGCAAGAGAGGGTTGTATTTTCAACTTCAAGATAAAAGGGCCCTTGACATAGCTGTTAGGCATGCCAGAGAGATTGCTTCACTGTATAGGATGGTTACTTAGAACATTGAGATACAGGGAAGATCAGTATTATCAACACAGTGAAACCTTTCCATCACCAGGCAGCTAGAAAATGTATCTGATAACTAATATTCAGGACAATGTACTAAACAAGAACCTAAAAAGTTCCCTTCACCTGAATTTCCTGTCCTTTTATTTTCCCAGACCTGGCATTTTGTCAAATCCATTAGAGACTAGAGAGGCAATAATGTCTATGATTCACTGTTATTACTGGGTGTGTTCCCTTGGAGAAGAATAGAGTGATTCAGGTTAGATTAATAATGGTGAGGGAGAAGGTAGGGCAAGTGGGTGGAGGGTGAGGGATAGTGAAATAGGAGTTAGATTCTTAAAAGGTAATGGGAATAAAAGTACTGCTCAGGGCCACATTCTTCTTAGATTCTTTATGAACTCAGAAATGTCACCCCTGCATTTATTTGGAGGAGAAAAAGGCATTAGATGTCAGCAAATCCTTAAGCAAGAGAGTATGTCTTTTAATCATCTTTAACCACCTTGAAGTTTGAGAAAACAACCCCCAAGATAATTTCACAGTATTGAAATCTGTTTAAAGTGCCGACAAACAAGTCGGCTCAGTTTTTTTACTCTTGCCTCTCATTACTGTTTCAGTCTTGAGAGTATAAAAGATTTCTTCTTGGTGATGTTTTTTAGATTGGGGAGCAAGGGTGTCTAATGGTACCAGGAATATAAGGAATTAAAAGAACATATTTTAGGATACTACCGAGAAAATCTGTGAATTTAGCCTATCCAGAAATTTTCTGGCTCACTTCAGGAGCTGAGAGCTAGAATGAAATTTAATCCCTTTCCCACTACTCTACCAGTCAGAAGAAAACACTAAGTCTCCACTCCCAAAGGCAAGGTAACATTACATTAACACCATCAACCTTTAGGAGCAGCATCAAAGCCACTGAATGCAGAGCCCCACAAGTCTCAGTGAGGACCAGGTGGAGAGAGATGATCAAAGATGGGGGAGGTGGCTTGAGCAAAGGCACCTCTTCATGGATCCTCTCTTCCACCTCCAAGATTGTGTCAAGAGCTCATATCCCCCATACTGTGTGTAAATTATACCACTTGTC